CCCCAAAACCCCAAAACCCCAAAACCCCACATAGACAATCTATCATAATTTAAGTTAATGAGAGAAATAATTGAAAATTAAATTGTAGATAAAATGGAAACCATGAATGTCAATGATATCTAAACCTGCGATCATAATGATTACGTAGTCTACTGTTAGAATCACGAGAAAATTCTCTGTCTAGAATGCGCTTTAAGCGATCACTAGAATTGTGGAGGTTAAAAGGCTAAGACTCTTAAGGTTGCTGCTCAAGAGCAAGTCTAAAAATTTGAGGAAATTCTTCAAGTTTGCAAAGACCATTAGAATTAATGCGCTCTAATGCAATAGAGGGTTGCTAACCAAGTAGGTCTTGAGGAAGAGATATTACAGAAGGTTGAGGAGTAGTACAACAACTTGAAGAATATTATTGACGAGTAGAAAGACAATGCCAAGAATATTATCAGGAACCTCGAAAGTGTGTAGAATTATAAGCCTCCCCCACAAAATTTTACTATCTAAACTCTGGATAACTTAAACTAATTCTCAGGTGAGGTGGAGAAAAATATCGGCTAGATGAAGTCATTTATCTAGTAATCAAAGTATTTGGATATTCTAAGACATCGAAAAATAATAGATGAGTATCAAAATCAGTTAGGGTAGCACAAAGTCAAGATACTTCAGCACAACTCCTTCTTCTAAGAGAATTCAAGGCCCAACATTCAAGTGAAAAGTGAGGTTGACAAATTCAGAGGTTTCCTGCATGATGTGATTAGTTTCGAGCCCGATTATATCCTAGCTCCAATGAGACCAAGACTCCACTACTTTGATGAGGATAGCAGGAAGTTCTATATTCACGAGCTTCAAAGCCAGACTACTGAAGGTATTTAAGTGAGAAATGCTGATAAACTACCAACAGAGTTTACCTCAATCCAAGCTCAAAATAAGATATTCATTATTGGAGGAGAAAAGAAGGATAATGACATTAGATGCATTTATTCCAATGAAACTTTCGTATTGAATGAGCAAACATACGAAGTAGTTCCTAGAGCTTCTATGAGAAATGCTAGGTCTGGACATCAACTTGCTCATCTGCATAGAAAATTTGAATACCAAACAAAGGACTATATTTACGCTATTGGAAGCAAATACCCTGACGAGACTAGTAAGAAGTGCGAAGTTTATGATATATCAAAGAATAAATGGACTGAAATTGGAGACTTGCAATAGTCAAGACACTACCATTCAGTGACTGTGCTTGAGAACAGATATTTGTATGTGATTGGAGGTAGAGATAGCTTAACTGAGAATCCATTGGACTCAATCGAGAGACTTGATGGTTTCTAAAGTCTAGAAAACTAGAGATGGGAGACTATCCAAGTTATTAACAAGGAAATGCACTGGACTCCAAGAGATACCTTAGGTTCATTTGCTCTTAGCGACTCAGAAATACTTATATTTGGAGGTGACTATGGCTGGATCTCAGATTGCTTTACTTTCAATGTAAAGAGCAATGAAATCCACAAGTGCGAGTGCACCCTAAAAAAGCCAGAGGAGTTTTTCAGAAGTCAAGCAGTAAAGTATAATGACAAGGTGTTTGTAATTGGCAACCTTGACAAAGATGTTCATGTCTACTCTCTTAAAGCTCAAAAGTGGTTCTTATTAGACAAATGGTTTGTTGAATGGTGAGATATTAAGTCAAGTTTATCGATCTATTTCTAGTATAATTTAGCTAATATTTTTGTCTTAAATTTGAATTTAATATATAATTAAGTATTTATAATAAATTTATGTATATAGCTAAACTTAACTCAGCCAATAATCTATCTGAATTAAAAAAATCTAGACATCCTATTATACCTCCACCCAACCCATAAAAAGAAAAATTTAAGTGGAAAATTTTTAACCAAATTAAATATGCTGAGCAGAGCGAGCTACTCAGCACTTAGTTATATCGTCATATTAAAACATCTAATTATAGGTTAATCAATATTCATTAAAATTTAGCACAAAATATTTACAAGGTGACAGGGCACCATCTTAAGTCAACTATTGAGGGTCTTGATGATCTTCAATGTTGAAATTATTATAGTTACAATACTCTCATTGGAGTTGAGAGTCTATATTATTATCATTAGCAGACATTAGAGTCTATGCGACAAAGCTGAATCCGTCGAAATCATTCATATCTTCAGTATGATTATCATTATATTGATTTCCAAAGGAGTCACAGGGAGGAGAGTCAATCGGAATATTGCAAATCTCCTGATCGAAATGCTTAGTATCGTCATTTCTATCTAGTAAGGGCTTATAGGGAGTCTGAACTTGCTTCATCATCATTTTATCCCAGTCAATTCCACTGAAGAACTCATGTTCTTTTATCTCCTAAGCACCACCAATTGAACCAAGTCTTTTGGAAGGATCTTTTTCCAGAAGTCTGCTAATCAAATCCATAGCATCTTTAGAGTGGTAGTGGTAAAAATTAGGGTTCTTGAATCTGATCTTATCATAGATCTCTGATCTTTTCTTGGAATAGAAAGGTGGGATAGCTGAGAGCATCTCATAGACTACGCAGCCAAAGCTCCACCAATCGCAAGCGAAGTTATACCCCTTTTTGTTAAGAACTTCCGGAGCAAGATACTCAGCTGTACCGCAGAAGCTGTTCGTCTGGCTATCAGAGTAGAAGTTATCCTTAGAGAGGCCAAAGTCAGTCAGCTTAGCGAATCCGTCTCTGTCAATCAATATATTTTCTGGTTTTAGACTAAAGAAAAAGGGTTAAAAATAGGTAGATGATTTACTCTCTGTAGATGATGTCATTCTAGTGGAGACACTCCAGAGCAAGCAAGATATTAGCAGCATAAAACTTGGCAGACTGCTCCTTGAATCTTCCAATTTAGCTGATGTAGAAGAATAACTCCCCGCCTGGGCAGTAGTCAAGCACAAGAAAGAGCTTCTTTTCATTTTAGAAGGCGAAGTTCATCTTAACAATGAAAGGATGGTTGATCTTTTCTAGGATCATTCTTTCAGTCCAGGTGTTTTTTACCTGTCTTTGCTTTCTCAGCTGCTTCTTTTTAAGCACCTTCATAGCGTAGAGTTTACCGTTTTACTTCTTTTTCACTAATAAGACCTTGCCATATGATCCTGTTCCGATCACTTGGATTAAGTTGAAGTCGTCCTTGGAAATTTTGCCGGTTTTTGATAAACTTTGTTGTATTAGGTTGTCATACTCCTAGGTTGAGCTTTTAGTCTCTTCTTCGAGCTTCGCCTCATCTGTGGTCTTGTTGAGAGTTTGTTTATAAGGAGGTGGAGAGTCTTCTTCTGAGGTAGCTTTGGTGTCCTCGTCAGTGTTTTGTTGTTTGTTTCTGTTTGAATTTTCATCAGAATCATACTTGACAGAACCATCTTCTACATTATTTCCGACGGTACCACACTCCTGCCCAATTATCATATTATTCATAGTCTCATTCTCACTCGATTTTGAGCTTGCTTGAACTTGAGTTGAAAGATCTTGAGTTTTTAGAAGACTTTGTTGAGTGAGCTGTTCACTCTGATTATGGATGAAATTAGAGACACTGACATTTGCATTGATGTGTTGTGAATTTTTTTCATTGTGTTTATGACCACTCTGTGAAAAATAGTTCTCCTTAATACACTCCTGCAAGAAGCTATCCGAATTTTGTGAGCTTTAGCCACTCTTCATTGGATTTTGTACACTTTGTTACATTTTTTTGTTGGTTTCTGAGGGTGTAATCTGTGACTGTAAAATGAAGTTAAGTTGATGAAGGTAGTTACGTAGTAGAGTATTTGTTGTTGTGAGAGATGAGCTTATTATTAGTTCATTAAATTTAAATTATAAAACTGTGCATCAGCTATTTAAATTAAACTTATTCAACCAAAATCACATCAGTCCAATAAAATTTACTAATCTGAATTAATTTATATTTATTGGAAATGCTACAAAATGAATATATTGAAAGGGCAATCTTTAGAAACAAGGATTATCTGAATCCTAAGGTCAACAATCAAATCTAGATCAAGGAAGAAAAGCATACACTCTAAGAAGATGCACTTGATATGTCAAGCAAGGAAGAATTCATGAAGCAGCTTAACTTAGTTGACATATCATTGTCAAGTCCAACTAATATGCTGCAGACAATACCTATAAACATTGGACTTAATCATATATCTGATCGAAGGTCTAGTGGAGATCAGCACCCTCCTTTTAGATAATAAAATGAAGAAATGGAGGAATCTGATTATCTAATGCTAGAAAAAATTCAAGGAAATGTCACCAATTTCTTAGGGGATCTGATAAGAGAATAAGAATAATTTGACTTTAGAAAACCTCATATAGCACAAAATATAGCTTTAGGGATAAGCGAAGAGATCAAACAGTTTAGCAATCAGCTTTTAGAAATGAAAATGAATCAGCAAAGACATGATCTTCCAAATGGCCAAAAAGCTATTAACGATATGAATCAATTTCAAGGTAACTTTTAGATTCGTCAAATTTACAATATAGAGATTATCAATTAAAAGAACAAAAGATCAGATGCACACAAGGATAAAAATGACTATAAAGAGTAAATACTAAATGAAAAGTTAGAGTGGGTTAGATTAACTAGAAAGATAGAGTATCTCTCAGATATAGATTCACTTACTATGAACATAGAGACCATTCTAAATTTACCCTTAGAACTAAAACTATAAGATCTTAATGGTCAAGATTGTACTAGAGATCCAAATAATGAGACCAATATTAAGGCAAAAAAACAGAATCTGGTTTCAGAGATTGAAAAATCCGATGCTAATAAGTAAGAGAAATGAAGAACGCTAAAGATTTTGAATAACTTGTTTGAAGATAGTCTTTACGAAGGATAGTAGATTAATTCAAAGGATCAAATAACACATAATCAAGTAATGCCAGTAATTATTCCTACTTAATCTGTTACTGGAAATCATACGCAACCCTCTCAAAACACAGATCCTTCTCATTAATCCTTAAATTTTGTAGATCCAACTGAAGTTGTTGATATAAATTTTTATAGGGATTTGGCTCCATCTCATAGAAATTTAGCCAAACCAATTGATGATAAATTACCTTACAGTAAGTATTAAAGAGAATTAAAGAAACGAAGGATTGAATAGAAATTAATACTAGAAGAATAGATAGAAATTGAGCCAAGTTAAGTAAATTTGGATGATGATATGTTTTTGCTTGCGATTAGTGGGTAAGCCCCTGTTGATTAATGTAATCACTTTAAAGATTAACTTTATAGTAATCCAAAGAATGAATGCTCTGAGTAAATGGGAAATTAGGGACTAGGAGTTATTAGAAATGCTTTATGGGACTGAATCTTCTTCACTTGGAGAATCTTCTTCCTCAATGGAAGATGAGGCGAAATAAAGGCAGTCAGACATAAAAAGAAGAAGCTTCAGAATGATTGATGATTTTCTATTTGATAAAAACAAAATGATAGAAGCTGCATAGAATCATATAGAAGAAAATTAAGACCTGTAATCAAGCAGTGTATTTCACATTTCTAATCCCACTCCTGGTTTCAGACTTAGCAGAAATTTTATTAATAGTCCTGTGTAAATTGCTTAGTAGAATACAGAGTAAATAGCTTCAAGGAGTAGAAATCATGGGGTTTAAAAGAAATTATCAAATAACAGTTAAAGAAAATAAACTGATTATCAAGTAATTGACTAAAGAAAGCATAGTGATTTAATAACACAGCAATATAGAGATGATTCAAGTAAAAAGAGGAGGTAAACTGATCATAATGAATAAGTAAAAAATAGAAAATTCACAAATAAAATAGAAGATAGCTCATCTACAGAAAGAAGACTCAGCAAATTTTTTAAAAATAGAGAGTCTTATGGTGATGTGCAGACTTTAATTGCATCATCATAAAATGAAGAAAACATGTTCAATATGTAGCCAGAGACGAATTCTCATTCAATAGAGGATATCATCAATTTAAATATCAAAGCAGATAAGAAATCTTAAGTTTCAAAAGATATGATCACAAGCAAATATACAACCAATTCAAAGTCAGAAGATATTAATTTACTCATTACTGAATGCGAGACCATTGTTTAAGAGAGATTGAAGTAGATTGAAGATTTATTAGGAGCAGTCAAAGAAATAAATGCAATTATTTTGTAGATTGAGCCATTAGAAATCCCAGAGACTGAAAAGAAGAAAAAGAAGAAACCCCTTACCTAGTCACAATAACAGACATTAAAGAACAACAAAAGAATGAAATTATAGATAATTCAAAAAATTGAGAAGCATTTAGAGGATCTAATATCTATTCTAGATTAAAAAGCATAGGAAGCTTAGTAATCTATATCAGATTTTACTGACCAGAGTGTTTAGATTCTCAGTACTTAAACTATAATAAGAGCTTCGCAATTGGCAGAGTAATAGGATATTGATGAGTAAATTAAAGCAAAATTTATTGCAAGGTTAGTAAGAGAGTTTTGTAATTATAGAGAAAGGGAGAAATAATAACAGATAAGAGAGAGATTCGAAAAGGAAATAGAATCTAATATTTATTAGAGATTCCCAGGTTTAAGCTCTTAGTAAGAAAACAAGAAAGGCTCACTTGAGAGATAGCTTAATTAGAACAAGAATTCTATCTATGGCAGAATATCTCCTTAAAAAACAAAGAATACCACATAGAATTAAATAAATCAATAGAAATTAAAAAATTTGAATAAGAGCCCAATGGACCTTTTTGAGATATAAGAAGTCTCAATTAATGATGCTCATCAAAGCAAATAATTTGCATAATTTGAAAATTCAGCTGGCAATATCAATCTTAAAGGAAGTGGAAATTATAGCAAGCAACTAAAGAACTCAAATAAATCAAATAAGACTGGCAGAAAGAATTAAGATAGGAGCAAGTAGGGTGAAGAAGATATATATCCAAGAAAGGCACCTTTGAAGCACTATGTTTATGATTATGCTTCTCAAAAATAAGGAATGGTGAGAGCTAAATAAATCAATAAAAAGAATTCAAAAATAAGCAAAGTTTAGGATGAATAGCCATTCGATCATAATTGGATTGGCTAAGATGCTCAAGATTTCTATGATTGACTAATTATGAATGTATTAATAACTGATCACTTGCATTTGTGAAACTTTATTTCATAAATAACTCAAAATATCTTAAATTGTTAGTAATGGGGTTTTGGGGTTTTGGGG